GTAGATATATGCAGTCAGCAGGCGGTTGGTTTAGGATTTTTTTTGGCATCTCCATGTGGTCCTGTTCGGTATCACAGCTTGACTTCTCTAAAATGTAAAAAAGCTCTTTGCTGTTGCACTGTACACATACTATACTACTTTTTTTTCTTTCATATGTGCTTATATGGGTTCCTTATAGCTGTGGTTCTTTGGTGTCCTTTTGGAGTTTCTAAGTGTCCTTTTTTGGAAAGACATCTAAATTTATCTTGAAAAAAGCTTGCAGAAAATACAGATTTTTGAGAATCACCCTTCAATCTTTTGGTTTACTTTGCTGGATGCAAATGATGACAAAATAAACATTTGAAACAGTATAAATGGTCTATGCTTAATTTCATGAAGTGTGCGATTAATCGCGATTAATCACAGAAAAAGGCTATTACATTTTTTAACATATATTGACATATTTATATGGAAAATAGTTATTTTAAATTGTAATAATATACAATATTCACAATATTACTGTTTTTACATTTTTTTAATGAGCCTTAATGGGTATAAGAGACTTCTGTCATAAATATGAAAAATCTTAATTATTCCAAACATTAGAACGTCTCGGTTACGTATGGTAACCCTCGTTCCCTGAAGGAGGTATACATAGCACATTTATTTATTTATTTATTTACGTACATACATATATACATACATACATTTGATTATGTTAGATCCTACATCAATTCTGCTGGGACTTTGGGCCCCTATAATTTTTTCTCACATTTTACGGCATTAACTCCGGCCCTAGAAGTTGCAGCACTAATGTGCTAACACACAGCTCGGTTGTGATTATATTGTGCATAAAAATCACCTGGGGCTTTGCCGAAGCATCTCCTCCAGTATCAATTAAAAGTGTTATCTTGCCATCTCTGTTCCTCAGATTTTTACAAATTATTTTTTTACGACTGGCGCTGATGGCATTGATTTAATCCACAGTGTAGATTTTTGTACAACAAACACATGAATTCTCGTGTGATGATTTTGACTCAAATCAGAAATGTATCCAATCCAGGACCACATATGAAAGTAGAGTAAATCGGATTTGAAAGGATTTGTTCACACGACTCAGATTAGTGTCACATGTATACAAACATTCAGATATGGGCTGTCTGCACCCTGCAGTTTAAAATAGCCAGTGACAAAAAAATCTGTTCTTCATCACCATAATCCCACAAAATAAGTAAATAAGCAAACGCATGATCAGATAAGCATTTTTCAGCAATATGAGGAACGAGAGAAGCAATAAGCACCTGTGAAATGGAGTGCGACTCGCTTCTCTGTGCCAGTTCATCTACAGTATTTATTTATTTCTTGGTAGAATAATTTGTTTGTGCGTTTTGTTCATGTCAACCCTTTATTCCAGCCATCTCATAATAAGCTTGAGTCAGGAACCTCTCATCATATGAAAGATGTATCCACTCTAAACTCTCGTGTTTTCATCTGCCTTGTCTAAAGGCCCCTCTCCAGAGCCAATTCTTAGCTCCATTTAACTCACTTCGTTGCTGGTGACTGATTCCAGTACACCTCATACACGGAGCTAATGGGCTGCTGGGATGCATCGGAATATTTATTACATCCCAACAGATGCTTGACTAGACAAATGCATTTTATCTTTATATATTAAACTTTTAATGATCTATCTATCAAAGATGAACTCGCAATAGGCATGAAAGGTTGCAAACTCAGCAAAAAGTTGCAAAGGTTCTGGTTCATGACTCAGTGACATATAATATCCACAATAAAGAAAAGAAAAACTGTTTTTAAAAATATGTAAATATATGTACATATATCTTTATTTGCATGTGACTTGAAGTAGCTTTATTTAAATATTTTGACAAAGAAATAAAAGATTGTCAAACAACTTAGGTTTTTCCTTTTTTATTGAAACGTCAGTCATAATGAACAAGTTGAGAAAGTAATGTCAATATATACAATTTACAAAGGATTGTAACGGGAAAAGAAAAGACTAATAAATAAATAAAAATAAAGAAATAAATAAAGAAGATAATAAAGTAGAGATAATAATTACGGGTTTCCATACACAAAAACATTACTGCATACAGCAGTATAACTTTAAAGACTTTAAGAAATCTTTTCTTTTGGCTTTACTACTTATACATAGTTTGACCATCTCATAATGACACTGTAGAGAAATATATCAGACATATAATCTCTATCAGGATAATCTCCATAATAATTAGGAAATTTATAATAAAATGTATAATTTAATAAATGTTTAATAAAAGTAAGATTGACAGCTTTGTCGATGTTGAAAATGGAGTAGAATTTTTCTTTTCTCAAGGGAAAGATTAAAATCAGTTTTTCTACACAGAAGTTGAGAGACATCATTTTACTTTTTTCTTTCTACTTTAAAAAAAACAAAAAAAAGCAAGATGAGAGTTCCAGTAAAGGTGCATTGGATATTGACTTAGGTAAAGACATTCTTAGAATTGGTGTGTTCAAGTCATTGCATGTCTGAATTTAATTTTAATGTATTTTTTTTAATTAATAGTTAGGAATAAAAATGAGTGTCGTGTCATGTGCCATGTGCTATTAACCAAAAACTCAAAGACCTATAAATGTGTCACAGTGGGAAACTAAAGGATGCGTGTGTGCGTGTGCATGAGAGTGTGGGAGATTAGTTGAAGGGCTAAACCCTCCACAGAAGAGTCATCAGTCTTTTAAGCACATCCATCAGGGATTTCAGACATCGGAGAAAAGTATGAGTGTCTGTTTTGTGTCTTTGTGAATAGGATTGTGACCTTCACAGAGAGAACACAAAGCCCTGAAATGATTTACAAGTCTGCTCTGAGTGAGAGTGGGAAGGAGGAGAGGAAGGGTGAGACAGAATGACAAAGAGGCATAAAGGAGAAGGAAAGTCAGAGATTTCCACCTATTGATCCAGGTGGGAGTGTACAGAAACCCGAAAGCCCTCCAAATGAAGGACGTCCCACCGCAGCCGACTGTATACCTGTAATGTGACCCACTAACCACATGTAATTAAGACAAAGGGACTGGTGCCAGAGGGGCGGGCTGACTGAATGAAAAGTGAGCGGTGGCTCAGGAGAGGCTGAATAGAGGGTCGCAAACACAGCTGTGAAAAAAGGCTGGCGTGAGGAGCTCTGGCAGGCGGGAATCATGACCGAAGGGCTGATTTACAGGAAAACTTTCCGCTTCATTAATGCTGTGCTGTCAGAGAGCTTAAATGGCCCGATATGTGACACAACCTTTCCTCTCCATCTCGCTCTGTTTCTCCTGTCTCGTTTTTTTCTGTTGTCGTTCTCGTTCTCGTTCTCTCTGGCTGTTTGTTTTCGACTCTCCGCAGTGTCTCCACAGAACAAATTAAAGAGGATTAGTGATGTAAATCTGTTAATGAATCTAATATTCAAATAACATTGTGTTGCCCTTCTTGCAATCTCTCCTTCAGAGCTCCCCTTTTGTTTTACCAAAACAAAATCAAAATTGTTTTACACAAATCAAATAATAAAATTTAGCAGTTATTTTAGTATGATTGAGATACTATTTTACTGAGATACTATTATACTACATTTTGAATTAGTTTTTATTTTTGTATTTTAGTAATTTTGTTTTTGTCATTTTTAGTTTTTTATTACTTTTTATTTCAGTTTTAATTATTTTAGTATATGAAGAATGATATGAATAATGAGAATGTTGTCTATTTTATTTCAGTTAACAATTATTTAAATTATTTGTTATTATAATTTTTATTGTTACTATTGTATTCTAAATAATTTTGCCAGTAATGCATGGCATTAGACATCAATGTGCAAATTGTTTGAAGAAGAAAAGGAGAAAGATATGATCTGTTTAGTCAAAGACATAATTGACAGATTCATTAATTAATTGTTTGACCTCACTGAAATGGTGTTTGGATCACTCATCGATATTTCTTTCTTCCCCTCCAGGACAAATGACATAGGATGTACACTGCTGGTCATCTCTGTCTGTCTGTGCTGTCATCCTTTTTTGCACTGGCCTGGGCTGTGGAGCCACTGGGTCAGGCTGCCCCCTGCTCCTCTCTGGTGGCTGGGGTCTTATACGGCTCCTTCTCACTCAGGGACCTCTTTCCCAGGCCATCCGCTCTGGCATCCGGATGCTCCTGGACTGTGGAGAACCCTGACCCCACCAAGTACTCGCTCTATTTCCGCTTCAATCGCCATGCCGGCGCCTGTTTAGCTTTTTCCCCACTGGTGCTGCCCCTGGACCACTACCTCTCGAACCAGACCTGTGGCCCCCCAGACCAGCCCACCTTCCCCTCGGACCCTGAAGCCGTCGAGCTTTGCATGGTCCCAGGACCCCACACGTTCCTGCAGTTCGATAAGAACTTTGTGCAGTTGTGCCTGACCACTCATCCCAACAAAGACGGAGACAACAGAGATGGGATGTCCGATGGCCAGGTCCCCTTGTCCGCGGAAACTCTGGACTTCCGGCTCGTAGAGGTTCTGCTCATTAATAATGAGAATTCAAGTCAGTTTACGTGTGGAGTCCTGTGCCGATGGTTTGAGGAGTGCTTGCACGTCGGCTCAGGCTGGGAAACCGAGAGCTGCAGTATCACCCAGACGGGATGCGTGTGTCCCAACACGGCGCCTCCGGTCTCCCTACTGCCCACTGCTCCCCACAACCACTCTTTAGACCCCAGTGCGAGCGTGTTGCAATCCCCACCCGACGACTGTTGTGTCACACAGCTGCATTCAAAGAGCGGCATTGCTATAGCACCCAGGGATGTCCGGCAAGGTAAGCCAGGCTTCTTTCAGACCAGCTGCTAGCTGTTTCATTTATAGCCTGCTTCATTAAAATCAATTAAGCTGCTTTACAAGCTACTTTGTTTGATTGGGTAACCATGGGCTCATTTTGGATCACAAGCAAAGTGTTTCACTTTCAGCTTGATTTGATTTGATTTGGAGAGCTCATTTTATATTTCAATTATTAGCCTCTAATTACAAAAGGGAAAGTAACTTTAAAGTGCTTGGAACTGCCTCCAATCAGGATAAGTGTTTGTGATAAAATAGTAATCACTGACTCCCCTTGGCTGCACTGTTTGGTCCTGCTGATATTGGGTGAGGAGGCTACACCTACAAACGTGTGCTACTTAATGTTATACACTGTGTCCTAACTGGGTGTGACCGATAATTCTAGTGACAAATAATTTGTCAGTAGAATATGAACTTTTTGGTGTTTATTATGCAAAGTTAGGTCTGGTCCTCAAATCTGATTGGCTGAGAAGCAATACAAGAGATGATATTTAGTACAGCACTTGGAACTGAATCAGTTCTCTTTGTCGGTATAATAATGCAGATTTCAGGGACTCTTTCTGTAAGATATATTGTTACGCCAGTAACAAATAACTTATGAATGACTCATTGACTCACTAAACCGATTTATTCAATACCCCTGATTCAATCAGGAGTAAACAAGTCATTCATTCACTGAACCACTGATTCATTCAGAAATGAGCGAGTCATTGAATCACTGAAAAGATTTGTTCAAACCACTGATTACAAATAAACTTGAATTTAATTGAATTGAATTTTGCCTGCTTGTCGTCGCTGGTTAGGACAGAAACAAAAGCGTTATTGGAAGAAATTTATTGCTTGTCGATGTATCATGCCGAGTGACCAGATTTAAATGGTCTGTATCTCAAATCAGAATCAGAATCAGAATCAGAAAGAGCTTTATTGCCAAATACTGAATGTTCAGCAGCTCATCCCTGGTAAAACTGATCGTGTTTGAAAAACAAAAAACAGGAAAAACTAACAAAAACAATACAAACACTGGAGAGCCAAACACTGAGGCTGCCGTCTGCGGCGCCATCGCTGTAAGAACCTGTCACTTGTCACTTTTGCTGATGATATCTTGTGTTGTTGATTTGTGTCACATTAAGCGTCAGGTTTGTGGGTGAGTATAGAGGTAGAGGACAGTTCATGGGCCTTGTTGATACATTTAAATTATATGTATTGCCATTATTCAGGTCAACTTTCCCTTCTGGCCCCCGCTGTGCTTTTTAAAATCTGCCCCGACAGACAGGTGATCAGACTCATGTAGGTGATTAACACCATTGATAGACTTCATTGTCAAGCTGCCGCATATAGAAACATTCTGCGTGTGTTTCCAATTGAGAGAAATAGAGAATCAGAAAGTGTGTTATTGATGCCGAAAAAGAAGCAACTAGATGGGGAAAGTGAGAACGAGAGGACGTGTATGTGTGCGTGCTTCAGCCGGGCTTTTCCTGGCTCGCTCTAGTGCCTCTCTGCTAAAGCCTCACTGAGTTTTATCCTCCCTTGAGTCAGCATGCTGATTGGCTGTGCCAGACAGGAGGACACTGCCAATGTGCCTGCTACAGAGATGCATAATGCTCCTGTGCCCGCAAAGACTGCACATTAAACAGCCTTCTCCTCAAAGCTGACATCACTGACACCAGCTAGTTTCAAGCATGGAGAGTTCTTCTCTGGAAAGATGTTGACAGTATTTTTAGGTGTGTATTGGGATATTTTTTCACATAATTAGGCCACTCTGGAATAGAGGATATATAGCATCCCTGCACAGTCATTTCAAATGATTCAAAATCATAACAAATTATGCAGAACATCAGTGCATATAGGTCTCCTAAATACTATATAATGTAATAATCCAGTTTATTTTGCAATGCAGAAATAAGCTATTTTCTGTGAAAGTGCAATAATTCATTAGCTCCTATAGGTAAATAATTAGAAGAATAACAATGTGTAGGGAACTGTTTGCACTACAAACCAGTGTGTTTATAATTATGACAATACATTAAAATAATATAATAAGGAATACCAGTTCACAGTATCAAGCAGCATAACAAGCTGTTTTGTAGAGCCAAAATAACTGGAAGCGAATGACACTGGAAGCCTTGCACATTCAAGTTACAAATGGCTGAAACTGCTCTTTTGTTAAAAATAAGGTGAATGTAATAATTAGACCCACAAGGATGCTGCACAATTTTTCATGTTTTTAGTGAGGGCAAATCTGCTGAAATCTGTGGAATAGGTTTGAAAATAAAAAAAGGTGCACTTTAGGTTTTCCCTCATTAAAGTTTTAAACGTAATTAGTTGATTTTTGTAAGAATATGATTAAGATACTGAAAGAAAATGCTGAAAATATACATATATATATATTTTTTTACACGGAGTGGGTCTATTCATGGTGGCCATCACATGATCAAACGAATACTCATTTTATTGTGCCTTAGTAACCCATCTATTGTTGTCGCAACACAAATGAAAATGACTAAGTGCGCCTTATACTGTAGTGTATACAATTTTCTTGTTAGTAACAGAAAATTTTAGCCAAATACTTATTTTTTTAAACAATATCTTTTGAAATCTGTTTCAAAATCCACTTGTTTTGTGTACAATTGTGTGAAAGACATTCATCTTCACATTCTGCAGGGCCTTCATCAGAGATCTGCAGGTGGTACATTTTCTACCATAATCCGTGTATGTTGAACTGCAATTAAATCTTTTTGTTTAGATGGGAGATGAACTCACCACAGATGAAGTTTGTTTCTGTGAACTGTCACCATCCCTTGGTGTGCAAATGATTTAATTACAGGCATGTTATCTGAGGGCTTAATTGGGTTAATTATTTAATTGTCTTTCAATTAATTTAATTATTTAATTTCTTGTTCATCTCTGGATCTCTGGATCAGAGACAATCCCTATGCTCAAAGCCCACGTGAACATGGAACTTCTCGCTCCTCCGTGTGCCACAGCCTTGAGATGGGGTTTGCGAAGGTGGATAAAATCCACACACTGTTACAGCATATCTTCTTTTTTATGCTACTGTTGTAGCTAATAGAGGCTAATTGGTGTGATTGCATGTGTGTGATGTTGATCTAGTTTCCTGTAGACAAAAACATCAGCTTGCAGGCAGAAGAAGCCAGATCGCCATGCTGCATTATCTACAAAGCTTGAGTTAATGTTGATATAATCACTCTTTGATTACATCATTAAAGTTTTTTTTTTTTCTCCCCATAAAGCACCTTGTGCATTGTGTGCATATATGTATGCAGGAGTTCATAGAAACACACTGGCTTATACAGAGGGATTTGAAGGCTGAAGTTGATCGCAATGTCTGACAGCTCATAAGCTCTGCCGTTCTCAATGGTTTTAGTTTATAGCCTTTCTATTTGTCCAGAGTTTTCAACAATGTACTTTAGGGGGTCTGTGGAGAAGATATATGAAGTTTCCTACCTTTTCTAACTTCTAATAACTTTATATCTCAGAATTACAACATTATTTCCCACTATGTGACTCTATATCTCACAATTCTATCTTTATTTCAAACAATGTGACTTTGTTTTACAATTGCTAATTTAAGCCACAATTGTCCTCTAATAGCAATAATAAAGTTCAAGTTTATCTCACAGTGGAACTTATTTTTGTGATTTTTTTTAATTTTATCTCACAATGCAAGTTTTTATGGTACAAATGTGACTTTATATCTCACAACTGACACATTCCCAGGTCCAGAAAAGTAGTAAAGACATTGTAAAAATAAACCATGTGACATCAGTGGTTCAACATAATTTTATGAAGCTATGAGAATATGTGTCGTGTTACTCTCGTGAACGCGTGTCGAAGACTGACATGGAAGAGAAGAAACTGTTATCTCAATTTGTGTTCTGAAGATGAGCGAAGGTCTTATGGGTTTGGAAAGACATGAGGGTGAGTAATTAATGACATAATTCTAATTTTTGGGTGAACTATCCCTTTAAATATGAAAGCCTCAGAGCAATAAATAAAATGGGTAATTGTTAAATTAATAACATATCTTTTCTTCCATATTGTGATGAGGAATTTCACAATGTTAATGCTTTTAATAGTTTATTTTTCTAAAGACACTGTGAAAGTGTAGCTTTTTTTTTTATAAACTTGTCCTTGAATTGACTTGAATTGGCTGATTGACTGGTTTGGTGGTCCCTGGGTTCTGTAAAGGTTGTAAACCCCTGCTGTTTGTCATCAGAAATACAGTAGACTGCTGTTGGTTTGCTGAATTACATGCAGAGAAGCCAGTTTGGGTAAATATTTGAGCTGTGGCTTTTTGTGTTGATTTTCTGTTGTTTCTTAGAATTGTTTGAGCTGTACATCTCATGTTGGTCTGAGGGGAATATTGAGTCTTTCATTGAATTTTGACTATGCTGCATTTTTTTCCCAGCTGGCATTCGAGCACACTGTCTGTTACAGCATTGACATTTGGAAAGGGTAATGAATACAAGGTGAAATATGACAGAGGTTATATGAAGCATGAAAGACATCATTAGACTCTATTACTATGAATTCATCTGGGTGTGTTTCTCTGAATTCTTAAAATACTTCTTTGGTAATTGCGATGCCAGTGTAGGTTCCGGCCAGGAGTAAAAGATTAGCATTACATCTGCAAATAATGATTATTTTTCTAATTTTCGATTGATAGTACAGGTAGATACATTGTTTCAGCCCTAACTAGCATAGCTGCTAGCATTACTACATCTTTAGTAGTATAATAGTATCTATTCCCCCAAATAGTATAGCTTTGACTAGTAATACACTATTAGGAATGTAGCAAAATAGTTAATATCTTAATATCAAAATGTTAACTATATTATTGCACAGCTTTATATATATATATATATATATATATATATATATATATATATATTTGGATATATAAGTATATCCAGCTTTATCCACATACATACAGTATACTTACATAAAGCAATATCACAAATG